AAAGAGGTGAGACGGGATTAGCTGAGCCAGCGGGGGAGCACAGCGCTGTGTGAGTGCGCGTGACTGTGTGTGTATGTGGAGCTTCCACAACAAGGAAGTGCAATGTGAATTCAAAGACTTGCAAACCAATATTCGGCTGTGGAATCAATATGAATGTAAAACGACGTGATGATGGCTGAGCTTAGTTGTGGCGCTTTTGTGGAAAACGAGTAAGTTCAGTTTAAGTTGTTTTCTTGAGATCTTAACGTATTTATCACGGCCTGTCAACACTGGTTTTCCCGTCATAACGAGTAAATCTTGCATAAGGTGTTGTGTTTGAGTGATAATGGACTTGAGCTTGTATATTTCTTTTCTGGTCTTCTGACTACTCAAAGCACTTTTACACCGCAGGTCACACCTACACATTCACACGCTGATGGTAGAGGCTGCTGTGTAAAGAGTCCATCAGAAGTAACTCATCCATTCTACCACTGAGTCCCAGCTGCACCTACTGTTGTGTCTAGATGCGTTTGAGTGTTTTTGTCTTTTTTTTGAGGTGTAACAGTCACTCAGCTGAATCTCTCCGATGACCCAAATCCTGTTCGTCCGACTGTCTGTCAACATGATGACACCGTCTCTCGCCATGGCAACCAGACGTGCAGACACCCCGATGATGATCTTTATAGTATACTCACTCCAACTAAGCGAGGTGAAAATAATGAAACAAAATAAGAGATTTTATCCTCCTCTAATGCTCTGACAAAACGGTGTTGTCACATTCTGGGTAAAATGCATTTTAGGCTAAATCTTTTGGTTCATGCTCGCCTTAAGAGGTCACATGTGAAGTTTCATAACAGCAGAAGGCAGAGGCGACCTCTAAAACCTGTTTGTATAATTTCTGTTATTTAAAAAAGAAGATTTAGGTCGAGTAGAGAAAAAGAGACATCGATAAGACTTTATTTGTGAATCATTCGGCTTAATGCAAGACACCAAATATCTACACAAACACACAAACGGAGCAAGAGATGGATGGCTTTCTGTTTATTAAAGCAAAATGAATTGTATTAATGGATGTCCACTTGGGGTGTCTGTAATTGTATGACAGAAAATGAAGCTTAATTAAAATCCAGACTATAAATGAAGGTGTTGACTATTAAAAATCTTGAGAAAGACGTCCGTGGATCCATACGGCTCGTCCAGAATCTTATTTAACGGATCGTATTGATCGCCTCTCATCAGATCACACTGCTGATGGCGTGCTGATCCCATAATCCATCTCAACATCTGCATTTCTGTTAAGTTTCATTTCGTCTTCATGCCATGTGTGTTTGTGTGTGGCCGCGCTCTGCCTCGGTTTGATCTGAGAGCTTCGCTTTACTTCTGTAATCCTGCCAGACGCACATCTCTATCACTCTCTCCATCCATCCATCCATCCATCCATCCAGGGGGATTTGAGTGCCATTAAGAGATGGCTTTTTGGTGTGATTGTGTGTACTAAAGAGCACACACACACACACACACACACACACACACAGAGCAGGATGAGGAGTAAAACCACATCCCCTTCAGCAGGAGATCTGTGTCAGGCAGCAGCAGCTGGCTCGGTTGGAGGTGCGGACTTGACGGGATGGAGAACATGGACACATGTTTGGAGTGTGACTTTTAACACACATGGATGCAACCGTCCAGAAACATCTACAGGTGGGTGCGCTTTCATTTCTGCAGCTTTCAGGAAGTGTTTTCTTCTTTTGTAGGTCAAATGTATCCCACAAAGTCGATAGAAAAATCCCCCTCCGTGCGTCTAGTTTTAAGACAAAACGGAGCTAAAACCGTTTGAATTCACAGATTTCAGGCTTTGTCTCACTTTTGCATAACTGTCAATGATTCATTATTAAGTGCTGCTGTGCTCTTTTTGTGCCGTTTCAGACCTCCGTTAATCCTGGCATGTCCCAGATGAGAGACTACAGTAATGACTGTCATCACTTTCACTGGTCAGTTCCAATCCCTTCACCACTCTTCAGTTATTCCTCCTCCTCCTCCTCGACTGTTAAAACAATGTCATGACTTAAAAAAGACGCTTTATATCCTTAACTATTAATAATCAATAGTAGTGACCGAGCTGAGGTTGGTTGCTCCTTTAACACGGATCATTTCTTCCAGTAAAGCGTCAAGAAAGTTTGACTTTTTACCTCATAAATGTCGTCGATTGATCAGACTAAAAGGCTGATCTGGATCCAGCGTGGACGTGATGGGGGTGAAATCCGACCTACAGACAGTACCTATTGTTAAGAGCTAATCTCTGATGTAAGCTGTGCTTTCTTCATCACATCATCGTTCCAGCAGCAGCAGCTGGCAGAGAGAGATACAGTTCAGCCATAAACCTGCCGATCAACGTGACTCTAGCATCAAATCAGTCGTCCACCTGCGTACCTGTAGAGCTACTGCAGCGAGCCAGAAACTCGGTTATCTCATTCTCTAATGCAGGCATATGTTTTATGATTGTTGGAGTAAAGAAAGAGATGTGTCTCTATCCAAATAAGCTTAGGTACAGGATATGCATCATCGATTTAACTCAGGTTTTCATCAAGACAAAAACTGAAATGAGGCCGAGGAAACTCAAAAGATTTGAAGGCCAGGATTTGAATCGTCATCACTTGAGGGGCAAAAGATGTTTTGTTAATGTTAACATACTTTTTATTAATTCACATATGCACTTCAACTATTTGCTCACTTAAAACCTGTAACAGAGACATCCTGAATCTTCTTTGTTCGGTAGCATCAAAGCTGTTTGTCGTTGTAGTTTCAACATTTAGACCGATGATTCAGACTTTATAAACTGAAAACACATTAACACACTTATGATGTCGGAAGAACGACTTCCCAACTCGGAAACTTGGACCATCCGAGGAGCCCCTGAATGCAGCATTATTTCTTTATCTCACTGAGGAGATTGATTAAAAGTATGATTGGTTTTCAGTATTAATACATTGATATTTATACCAAGATAGGTGATGAGTCATGATTTATTCAGAGAAAACAAACAAATCTGTGTAAAATTAGACTTGGAGCGTCCTCATATATCTGAAAGGGAAAGATCCTTGTGTTCCACTGTGAGACATGGCAGTCTATTCGGGGTCACCTCTAGCTGTTACAGAGCTTATTGTGTGTCATATAATCCGGAGTAAAATATTAAAACAGCAGACATTTGACTCATGAAACGCAGACTTACGTCAGCTGTTTGTTTTTCCCCCTGTGATGACCGGTCCAAATCTCTCCAGTTTATTAATCTGATTCAATTAGGAACAGTAAAAAAACTGAATATGTAACGTTCTGACCTGGCGGAAAGACAGACGAGTGATGCTAAACGAGCTTGTGTGTCAATCAAAACAAGGTTATGAGTTCATTCGTCTTTGAGATCTGTGTGGCACGAGAGGCCGGAGTCTTCCTCTGCGAAAACTTAAACAACCGATCAGATAACGTTTATGAAGGGAACGTTTTTGTCTTTTCAAAAGTTAATAAATGAGCAGTTTGTTGGCTTTGCCTACAAGGTGTCCATCAACCTCATGATGACTGTGAATCACTCAACTCAAAGAAATGACCAAGCAATGTAACCTCAGGAAAAAGCATGGCAAATAGTTTTTTTGGGCCCTCTTTGCCTTTTTTGGACAGGACAGCTGTAGAGAGTCAGGACATGTCAGGAGGAGAGAGTGAGGGGGATGACATGCAGCAAAGGGCTGAGGTTTTAATTCAAACCCACGGCCGATGCTTGTGAACAGGCAAGGTTTGGGGCGCGAGACCAGTAGGGGGGCCCCTGAGGGCTGACAAAATGAAGCCAAAGCAGTGACCCAAAATGTACAAATTTTGCAACGACAGTAGGAAACCTCTCTTAGGTGGCCCCATCTGATACAAATCTAACTAAAACGAAGAGGAATTCTCTGTCTATAGGAGAGAAAACAGAGGAAGAGGATCAAACGTCGGGACACTGGCAGATCTCCTCCATACATGGGGCGAACGTCATAACCTCTAGCCTATTGGCACCCGTCCACATTAATAGTTGAAGGATAAACAAACAAGTTATTTCCCTTTAATTCTTGACAAGAACTCAAAATGCTTCTGTCTGTCTTTTGGCAGAGCCATGCAAGCTCTTCCCACCTGTCAGATGTTAAATCAAGTTAACCAGCTGCTAGCTGTAGCTTCATTTCTATGATGCAGACATACAGTAAGTGTGGCCAAGAGAGCGAAGAAGCAAAAAGGCCAACACATTCTCATCCCACCAAAGGTCTCTGAGTGCAATTTCACTGTCGGTACAACAAACAGGGCTTTTAGCACCTCCTCCTCCTCAACATCAACAACAACAATGTGCATTTGTTGACAAGTAGAACATCTCTGAACGTGTTTGTGGCTTTGGCAAAGACGTTGTGAGAAGCCAAAGAACCGTTTCCACTGGCAGGGTTCTGTTATATTACCGCATTTCGCTACAGCCCAAGACTGTTTGCATGTGGAGAATATGCAAATTACTCACCTGTCCAGCAGCAACATAGCCAGCTCGGCGTCAGGCTTGCAGCCTACTTTTTCTCGAGGCACTTTCCAAAGTGTGAAAGCCTGTCCACCACTTTCAGCTTCTTGCTCGGTCACTCTCTCGTTTTCTCTTCTTAGCTTCATCCGTCACCTTCCTCTTTCCTCTCTTAGCCTCTCTTAGCCTCAGCCGGTGTATCAAACAGTACAGAGACGGGCTAACTGGCTGCTTTGTTGCTGAAGGATGCTGTGTGAACTAGTGATGTAAAGCCGTGTGCACTTCTTGTGAGATGACCGGCGATGATCAGGCGACCCAGGTGCTCTGTGAAAAACATTTTGTTTAAACTGGTTCACCTGACCTCCCAGGTGCTGGGCTGCTGCTTTCAGCTTTAATATTCTTCATACTGAATGGGAGTGGGTTGAAACATGAGGCGAGGTGGATCTTATGAAGTTGTCTGACCTGATAAAGAGCTGTTTTCACTTTGAGTTTCTGATTAAATGTCGTCTCTCTTCCAGTCTCTGTGCTGTGCCTGCTGCCTCACGCTGTGCTGGCACGGTGGGCGTGTGTTCGGGCGTGTCCGGCGTCCTGCTCCTGCACGCAGGAGAAGAGCTGCAGCGTGCTGTGCGACCGCTCCGCCCTGGCTGAGCTGCCTAAAGAGTTTCCATGTGAGGCCTCAGCCATCAACCTGGACAAGAACAGACTCAAGTTCCTGTCGGAGAGAGCGTTCGGCACGCTGCCCTCCCTCAAGTCTCTGTCTCTGGACCACAACAACATCTCCTTCATCACGCCGGGAGCTTTCAAGGTCTGCTGGGTTTATGTGCTGAAGTTTGTCTGCTTTGATCTGTTCATGTAGAGAAATGTCCTACTTCCTCTCTGACCCCTGACATGCCAGGATTTTCAAATATCTGCTGCTGAACCTTTGGCAGCAATTTCAAAATAATGAAATGGAATTCAAATGTTGTTGGTCAAACAATCACAAAATGACATTTAGAAAACCAAATCAGTTTAACACAGAATCAATGTGCAGGTTTAATCTGGATAATAATCACATCTGACTGTGTGGCAGTTGTCACGGACACTGTTTTTCTGATGCTCTGAGCAGAAATAAATCAAACTTTCACCTCCAACACTGAGCGAATATAACTGAATGTTAAAGGTCACTTATCCTCCTCTTCAACCAGTGTAAATAAGTCTCAGAGCTCCTCAAAACATGTGTGTGAGGTCTCTTGTTCTAAATCCACTCTGATCCTGTATTTGATCATGCCTATAAACCCCTCTATTTCAGCCCTGCTCAGAACAGGCTGTTTCTGTGTCTGTACCTTTAAATGTAAATGAGCTGTGTCTGACCACACCCCCTCTCTGAAAAGGCTTGGGTGTCTCGGGCTTTCTCGCACAAAAAACACCTAGCTGTTGGAGTGTCACCCACCTGGGGGAGGGGCTACTGCCCTTTGTGATGGCATGAAGAGGAAAATCTCCAAACGGCCTGTTTGAGCACACATTTTCTGAAAAGTGGAGCAGGCAAAAGACACAGAGGATGGACTTTTCTCATTATTGGGGGGTTTGTAGACAGACTAGAGACACATATTAGAGTTAGAGAAACATGGTGAATTAATTTTTCCATTATATGGAACCTTTAAAGCAAACTTTGGTTTAAATTCTATTTCATTATGAAATCTCCACCATTAAACATTCTTGACTCCAGATAGGCACCTAAAACAAGTCCTTTATTTCCCACTTCATGGGACAGATTTCAACAGACATGTAACTTTAACTTTGTCCTGAACAAACTTCAGAGAAAGTTGTCTTTTCTGTCTGGAAGACATGTAGCATTAAATCTTTTTTTGTATTTGGCCGGAGAAAGCTTTGTATTTGAACACACCTGACTCTCCCTCCTGCAGGGCCTCTCCAACCTGGTGGACCTGAAAATGGCGCACAACGAGTACATCAGTTACCTTCACACACGGACGTTCACAGGATTAAAGAAGCTGGTGCGTCTGGATGTATCGGACTGTAACCTCTTCAACATCCCTGACCGTATCTTCATCGAGCAGCCGGCGCTGAAGGAGCTTCTCTGCTTCCAGAACAACTTCAGGAGGATCCCCGGAGCCATCAGAGGCATGGAGAACCTGACCCACATCTACCTGGAGAGGAACAAGATCGAGGCGGTGGCCTACAACTCCCTGCTGGGCCTAGGGAGTCTCAAGTAAGTCACAGGCAGAAAGTAGCTTGTGGTGTTAACTCACACACCATCGAGCTAACATCACCTCATGTAGCTGGTGAATGACACTTCTTTACCTGTACTCAGGGGCGTGGCCAGACTTTTAGGACTGCGGCCAATTAGAATTCAAGGGGGGCCCATGCCGACACTCTTGACACGCCCGTGCCTGTACTCTTGTTCTGTGTAATGGCTGAATGTGTTATGGGTGTAATTTGGGGATCTGGTTTGTTACCACACTAAGCTGATACAATTACTCTTAAAAAAGTTGAGGCTGGTAAGATAAAGAACAATGAGCTGCAAACAACAAAGATGGCAATTCAGCCTCTGCACAGGCCCTGAGACATATGGGAACTAAGGCGGCCAAATTAAAAAAAATGTAAACCGCAATTAATCGCTAAATTCAGTGCTTTATCGTGATTAATCACATTCTTGATTGCATATTTGAAATTCTTGCCATTGAAAATATAACTTGTTAGGCTGGGATTTTGAATTTTTGTATTGTCGAAGAGTACTTAACTTGCTGTTTGAAATCAACCATGATTTTATTTTGAAATACAGTAAGGACCTTCTGGTAGATGGAAGGTTAGGACATGAAGTTAAGCACAGAAACAGGAAGTGGTCAGGGATCCCAAGCTGACGTCAAACAGCTCAAAGGAACGGTAACAAAGGTCAATGTGTGATGTCATAAGCTGGATATGACTTTGGACTCGTCAGCTGAGTTGTCTGAGAGTTTGTTAAAGTGAATTGAGACATTCAAAGATGCAGCAGTGTCCTTCTTTTACATCACTGAGACTACAGGGAGACACTGAGGACCACTATCAGATTCATTATTGAGAAAAGCTGCATGTAGCACACGGAGACTGTTATCTGGGAAACCTAAAATGTTGTGCACAGCTTAGACAGGCCTGTAGTGCTGAAGTGTCGGGTTTTGTCAAATATTTGTTGTAAAATGTGCTTAAATGTTACGTTTTTTGGAAAGTACAGAAAGTGTTCACCCTTTTTTAGTGTCCGTGGTTCCTGCAGGGTTATGGGTAGAGTATTTGGGAGGGAAGCCCCATGGCTGACCATCCAGGGCCCCAATGGAGGAAGGGGCTCTTAAATAAATCTATACTTTTTATTTTCATTTGTCTCTTACTAAGAACGCTCACAGGGGAGGGAAAATAAATGAACCTAATTCTTAACTCTTAAATAATAATATAAAAAAAACCTTTTAGGTGCTTAAATTCTCTCACTGCTTCTACTCCCAGCACGGTTTGCACATTTAAAAACTCTAAAAGGGAAAAACTCTGGTGGCACATGCTTGGTGTTTCTTTGTTTGTGTCAAAAGTTTGCTGCAGTTATCTTTCCACAAATGGCGTCATCTCAAAGGTCAATTTTTTAGTGGCTGTGCTGCTTTGCAGCGTTTCTCTACCTGGTTGTGTTCTTTCTTTGTAGCTTGTTTGTGATACATTTTGCTTTTGTGTTGTTAAACTGTCTGTTTGCATTAGCATCTGTTAGCAACATGTGCTTAAAGCTACATTGCCAAGCTGTTTCAAGAAATGAAGGAGCCTGATTTTTAAAATAAAACTTTACGTCTCTATGATTCAGCATGTGATGTTTTAATCTCACTGTGAAGGTCTTACTGTAAAAAAAAAAAAAAAAAAAAAAAAGTCCTGAGTTTAGTCTTTGAACATCTCTCTTTAATCTCAGGTACCTGAACCTCCAGGAGAACCGGATCAATGTGATCCATGACCGGTCCTTCCAGGACATGGTGCGGCTGGAGAACTTCTACCTCAACGATAACCTGCTGACCGATCTGCCCCGGCTCGCCTTCAAGGGTCTCAGCCGCCTCAAGATGCTCAACCTCGGGGGGAACCAGCTGATCAACGTGTCTAAGACTTGGTTCAGTGACCTGGTGGAGCTGGAGGTCCTGTATCTGGACAGGAACCAGGTTATCTACATCGAGGAGGGAACCTTTGAGAACATGACGAGTCTGATCACGCTGCACCTGAACAGCAACAACCTCACCACGCTCCCCTTCCCCGTCTTCCAGCCCATCTACTTCCTGGGTCGCCTCTACCTGTTCAGGAACCCGTGGGAGTGCGACTGCTCCCTGGAGTGGCTGAAGGAGTGGATGGAGAGCTACAAGCTTGTGCGGGACATCCCCTGCGCCTCGCCCTCCTCTGTGGCGGGGCTGGATCTCGGCGCGGTGGTCTTTGCCAAGGTGAACGGCACCTGTGTGGACCCTGCAGAGCTGAACCTGACCACGGTGTCCTCAGAGATCGTCTCCACCACAGAGAACCGCTTCAACAGCCTCATCTCCAAACTGCTGCAGCAGGAGCTCAAAGAGGAGATGGGGAACGGCACAGAGAGCCTCCGTAACGGGACGCTGCTGGAGTCCGAGGATGGCCAGCTCTCCGCAGGAGGTCAGCGGGACCGGGGGAGCAGATCTCTCCTCTGCTTCTTTGTGCTGTGGCTGATCTTTGGTTTCACTGACCAATCAGAGGGATATTTCTGCTTGTCCTGCACATGAGAGCTGTTGAACGAGTCTGTCACTTTGCTCACTGAAGGAGTAGCTTTTCAAAGTTTGTGGTGAGAAAAGAGATTTCAGAAGAATCCTCTTCAGTGTGGTTACTGCTCTGCCAAACAGGATTTTCAGCTTTCCTTTTTGGTGACATGCAAAGTGGATATTTTCAGCTTTACTCAGAATAAAGACTGACGTTGACAAGTCTCCTTATAAACAATAATCTATGATATTTATAGGTGAACTACTCGCATTAGAGGAACCTCAGCAACGAGTCAGTTTTGTGTTTTATGCAGAGATCAGGGACGATGACGCTGCACGGCTGCAGGATTCATCTCTACAGTAAATAAGATGGGTGTTGATGATTTCAAACTGTGGATTACTGTTATAAAAGTGAATATGTAACCCTCCACCTTTTGTTGCACAACACTCCATTTTAATTAATATTATGTAACATTCATAGCATTATGTCGTCTGTATTTATTTATCTTTTGAGTTGTCGTTCACATGGATGTGTGATGTGAACGCAGATGAGAGCTCCTGTGGTTTCTCTCCTAAACAGATGTCCTCTCTGCTCTTCATTCAGCTTTTCCCATAAATGCATTAATCTTCTTACTGCATTCAGCCTGTGCATGCTGCAGCATAATGGAGGGTACTCTCTCATGGCTCTGCCGCTCCTATGCATGGATGTTTCCCCTCTTATGGACATGACCTCGCTGTGTACCGGGGGTGTGCGCTGCTGGGTGTCACCGCCATATGTCAGGCTGAACATGATGGGGGAGGGAAAAGTGTCTAAGCATGTTTCTTGGGGATGAGAAATGCTGTCAGGTAAGTGTCATTGAAAATGAATGAGCTTTTCTGCAGAGTTTATATGATATAGAAATATGAGAAGTGAAAGATACCCCGCTCTAACTCCAGCCACTGCTTTCATTTTACCTTTCTGAATGTACCTAATTTGATCTCTTCGATCGTGTGATTGCACCTTTATGATATATTTTTCTACATAATAATAAAGAGTGTTGCTGTTGAACTTTTTCCTTTTGCCGTCTGAGTGACTGGTTTCACCCTGCAGTCGACGAGCCGACCAGTTTGAGCGGTTGAACACCAGTTAATCTGCACACTGGCCTCCTGATGGTCCTTTAATGTGGGATTACGCCGTGACTAAGATATCTCACCACCCCCTCTCTCACATACCATCGATCTTCATCTCAGCTGTTTTGATCCAGAGGATGAGTATGTGCAGAGTGTATTTAATTTATCTGGGCCAAAGGTGAAACATGAGGTGTTACAGCAGAGCTACAGTAGTCACTGGTTTATCATTTGCAGTTTTATTGTAGGAAATCCTTTTTCCCACATCATTTACCCAAAGGTAACCCGGAAAATACAGGTGATTTTGTATAAAATATAAGAGACTGACACATGCATGTAACTCAGTGTCAATGTAAATTAATTATTCTGATCTTTCATATGCTTACTTGGCCTTCATTTGATCTGCTGTGCGTTAACTAAAGGGCTTTCCAGTTAATGCTTTTGCATATCTGGAATTAATCAATTAAGCATCAACGTCTGCCACGAGGTACCAATCTGATGAACCAATCAGACGCCTCCTTGTCTCCCTGCTCGCTCTCTACCTCTTGCGTGCTCTAGCCCACACTTAAAGCAGATGACTTTAGGAGTTTATACTGTGAGTTTACTTCCCGCTGAATGAGACATGAGACGACGTAGTTTCTACACAATGCAAGAGATGAGCTGAGGTCCACTTCTGGAGCAACGGCGCTCGTGCATGTAAGTGAGGGGGCGTGGCTTTAGAGGGAGGACAGAGGGGAGGGGGTGCAGACGGAGCACTGAGGGAATGCTACTTTCAAAATCATGCTAGTTTTTTTAAATGATCAACTCTGTCAGTCAGTCTTCTTTCAGATAGTTTATTTTTCTTTGTCACTTTTTATATATAGAGATTGTCAAACAAGATTTTAATTAATTAATTAATTATTTAATTAATTGATTAATGGTGGCGTCTACACATTAATTTATGCGGGAAGGATAGAAATTAAATCAATGAGAAACAAAAGCAGCAAATCCTCACATTAAGCAGATGTTACTGCTAGAAGATGTCTTCCGAATTTGTCACTTTATCTCAAATCTATGGGCTGGCCATGTTTGGCATCACAGATGAAAACGAAGGATGTTAAATAGAAAAATTAAAATACATTTCGAGGAGATATATCGAGGTGTCATTTCTGCTCAGTTCTCGGAGTGTGTTGTAACAGGTAAAACGCTGACGTAGCCTTTAAAACATTCATCAATAGGAAAGTCATTTTCTGAGATTTTAAAATCCATTCTGGATAAAAGGTTACACAAAAACACAGCTGTCGTCAGGCGTCTTTTTTCAGATGTTAATGCTGAAGTGGATTATGTAACAGAGACATAACATTCAGACTGGTTTGATGTAATCACTCTCTCTCTGATTGATTGAAAGCACAAAACACTGCAGCCCAGTCCTTTTTCACCTGGACATCAGGACCGACTTGCACGCTGCGCTTTACCGCGTCATTTCAATTTTTGTAATCAGTTTAAACATTTTGTTCTGAATTGTTTTTCAATTTTTTTGATCGTCTGAGGGATTAATGACTCCATCCGCACAAATATGTGAGGAAATCTGCAAATATCTATGTCATGTTTTTAGTCTTGTCATGTTTATTTCTTGAAAAAGTAAGTCTAACAATTTAGTTATTCATCAAAGTGTTTGGGTTTCAACCATAAGCTGGTTTACTGATCAAGTGTGTTTATTGCTTTAGCTGCAGGATCAAATCATGTTTAAAAAGCAGATTATTCTGTTGTGCTAAAGGATGGACGGCTGTGGTTCAGTTGGTAGTGTCGGTTGTCTCTCGACTGGAAGGTCGGGGTTCAATCCCCAGCTCCTGCAACCACGTCAGATGTGTCCTTCCGCAAGACACCAGAGAGAACTCCCATGATTCCCTGCTAGCCTCAGTGTCTTTTTTTATTGTAGTATTGATTAAGAGCCACGTGGTAGAATCTACATACTGTATCTTTAAATAAGTCTCAGAGCTCCTCAAAACATGTGTGTGAAGTTTCTTGTTCTAAATCCACTCTGATCCTGTATTTGATCATGTCTATAAACCCCTCTATTTCAGCCCTGCTCAGAACAGACTGTTTCTGTGTCTGTACCTTTAAATGTAAATGAGCTGGGTCTGACCACACCCCCTCTTTGGAAGGGCTTGGGTGTCCTCGGTCTTTCTCGCTCCATGTCCTATTGTTTACAGTGAGAAGGCAGACTCAGAGGGCAGAACAAACACCTAGCTGTGGGAGTGTCACCCACCTGGGGGAGGGGTTACTGCCCTTTGTGATGTCATGAAGGGAAAATCTCCAAACGGCCTGTTTGAGCACACATTTTCTGAAAAGTGGAGCAGGCTAAAAACTTTGGACTTTGAGGATGGACTTTTGTCATCATTGGGGGATTTGTGTATTTAGTATAATATGTAACCTTTAAGATCTGTAAGTTTCTTTAAAGCTTTGGAACTTTTTGAAACTATCGACCATTAAAATAACAGATTGTATTGTTTTAAACCACGTCGTATCATGTCATGCTTTTGTGCAGTGGAAAAGACAAAAAGAAGAGCCACTCAAAGGTTCACTTTTCCAACACATAAAAGGAAATATATTTAAAAAAAAACTGTTCATACTGAAGGACGTTCATCATTGCAGAATCATTTACACAAGGGGCAGCTGTATGTCAGTGTCATTCTCATTTACACAGTTATCAGATGCACACACTGCCTCCTCTCCCCCGGCAAAGTGATCACACCTTTGCAGAATGTAGAATCATGTACAGAATAGAAATTAAGCGTTTAATCTCCTGCCTGTCTGTTTTTAAAAACTCAATTCAACACTAAAACTTGTCGAACATCAAGTTTCTCTAAAGAGGAATAAGCTAAATTCCTTTTGGGAGTGTAGGACGAATCAAAAGGAGAAAAATCAAGAGCTTTATTCGATTTCATTGTTTTACAAACACATCTCACTACATGATCGGCTTTGATTCTTGTCTTAGTAAATCTGTGGTTTAGAAATGTCACCCCGAATGCAAAGGATGTGCATAGGTGTCACGTCGACGTCCGCTCCGTCGCTTGTACCCCCGTGCTTCCTCTGGAGTTCAGCTTCCAAACCGCTGGAATGTTTTTTTTTATACATATATATTTTAGTCTTCTTTACTTTGTTGGAGGTTCACAGAGGGGACACGGGAACACTGACTGACTGACAGCATGAAGCTTGCAAACGTCCACATGCATGATAACCTCATTCAGATCTCTAAAACATTAATGGATTTATTATTTAGAAGAGACAGTACCTGGTGGGAGAGGTGAGGATGTTACTGAGAGTCCGAAAAAGAACAGGGGTGAATAAATAATGACCTACAGGTGAGAAGACATCGCAGTGTGTTTGTGTGCTTTTAATTCAGAATACACACCGACAGTGTCTTTTAGAACTACAACACCCAACAGGACTACAATGCTGTGACAGAGGATTGTGGGAGGACGGACACAGTACTGTCTCTTTAAAACAAACATCTACAAAAATGTCGCCTCCTATCTAAAACAGACATGACAATATTCACGTTTGTTAACTCTGTTTTTACACATCACTATGACGAGGTCGTCTGTCGAGTCCCAGTTTGATCCGCTGCAGGATGGCGGCGCAGCGTTCAGGAGGATTCTTTGACGGGGGGGTTTGATCAAAAAAAGTTTTGATTTCTTTTTTTTTTTTTTTATTCTAAAGAGGAAAAAATGTCCGATGTGCTAACGCTGAGGAGGGGGGGAGCTGGGTGGAGACGATGTGGATCAGTAGACCCAGGACACGGGGACCCACTGGGAAGTGGTGCAGACCAGGTCGATGGCCTCCTCCAGGTACCTGATGGTCTCATCAATCTCGTTGTTGATGATGGTCTGGTCGAAGTAGTGGGCGTAGGTCTTCTGCAGGATCTCAGACTCCTTCTGCAGCCGCTGGAGAGACTCGTCCTGCAGGGGGAGGAGAGCAAGTTAGAGGAACGGAAGAAGGCCGAAAGAGTGAGGGACGCATGAGAGCTGAAACCGTAAAGGAGTGACAGAGGGAGTTCTTAAGGCCTCTAAATACTGTGTGATATCCAACACATGGAAGAAACATGATCGCAAAGTAGAGGTGGGGGAAAAAAAATCGATTTATGTAAAAAACAAAATTCTTCTCTTCTAAGATTAAAATCGATTTAATATCTTCCAAAAATCGATTTTTATTTGTATTTTTTAATTTTGCTAATCAGTCACTCTCTGCTAAGTGCTAAAGCTATCTCTTTAACTCAGTAGAATGCCAAATAGAGCAACAAGAAATCCAGCCAGTCTCACAGATGACTGGAGTAGATCCTGAAGTAAGTTTATTTAGGAATTACCTAAATAAACTTTGAATCCATGGATCAATGAATCCAAAATTGTTTTGAATCAAAAATTGATTCTAAATCGTGACCAAAGAATCGAAATCGAATCGTGAGACAGCCAAAGATTCTCAGCCCTATCGCGAAGTGTTATTTATATAAACCAAATCGCTGAAATGTGTCCGTCTTCAGCACCATGAAACAAAATAAACGGATTCTAATAACTGAAATAACGACATCATGATGCTGAAGTCTGACATCATGATTTGTCAGCTCTTACAGCAACAAAATGTAGGAGTTCTGTTTGGTGCACTTTGGCGCCCACCGAAGGTCTCTGAGAGCAACTGCACTGTCCTTAAACATAAATAGTGATGTTAACGCCTCCATCTCATCGACAACGTGCATTTTTTTAAAAAACAGAAGGCTGTCGTTTACTGACAGGGTTTACTGGCGCAAACATGATTCTGCGAGCATCTACAGCCGGTTGTCTACAATTCCATTTTTATAAAATATTAAGCAAAACAATACAATAAAAAATCAAATTCTTGTTTTTTGCTTGCATAGTTTTTTTTGTCCTTTTTCAGACTGCTTTCTTTTCCGCAAGTGTGGTCACTAAGCAGTCTGAACAGGGCTGTAGTCTTAAATATGACCATCGCAGTGTGACATGTGTTTAACCTGCGGGACACACACAGTGTGTAGAGGCCTTGACTCAGCAGAGGAAGGAAGTGAACGTAAAAAGCTCTAACAAGAACCACGCAGACGAGCACACGGGGAGGAATACACACACATACACACATAAACACATAAACACAACATGTCATGCTCACTGCGTCCTGTCAGAGTTTACTTACTGGCAGCGTTCGACACCACCTGGGCATCTGAGAGGAGAGCCAACCAAACAAACGCATGCAGCATGCAGAAACAAACGAGTGCAGAGAGGAATGAGAGAGAGGGTGAGAGAGGCTGCATGCTGAGTGACTCACACGCTGACCCTGCACACTTTTGCTTTCATTAATAAAAAATCAGTGTGTTCCTACCTCGTTGATCCCCGGCGTTATGGTTGGCGCGGCGATAAAGACGACGTATGGGGCAAACTCTGCCGTCCTCAGGACCTTCAGGGCCTGATGGAGAATAGGTGTTAAAGGTCAGGATGTCCTTACACACACACACACACACAAAGCAACACACAGAAACACACAGAAACACACACACACCTGAGGCTCCACGTCCAGTATGGAGATGAGTCCCTGCTGGTGGATCTTGCGGATGGTCTCCAGCCTCGTCCCGTACATGGCGTCCTCGTGGCTGCCGTACTCCAAGTACTCGTTGTTGCTGATGTCCTGCATCATCTGGTCGTGGGACACAAAAAAGTAGTTCTTCCCGTTCTCCTCGTCCTTCTTGGGCGGTCTGGTCGTGTCTGTGGAGGAGAGAATGTTTAGACTTCCTGATTTGTGTCCCCGTGTTGTTCAGTGTGTTGTTAGGGAGGGAGGCGTGCGTGTCTTACGTGGGATCGGGTAGGCGAATCTGTCGGGGTGTTTGGTGATGAGGGTGTTCTTGATGTGCCGTCTTCCCACTCCATGAGCCCCTGAATAGAAGTACACACACACACACGAGGTCAGCGAGGGTCTGTTTTCAAAGACGTTTGTGTTTGCATTTTGACAGAACTCACCTAACAACACGAGCGTTTTCCTCTTGAAAGCAGGAAGCTTCACCACCTCTTCATACGTGACCAGGTCTAGTTGATCAAACACTGGAAGTGAAAGAGAGAAGGTCAGAGGGTGAGGATAAGAGAGTGTGCAGGTACACACTGCAGCTACAGGGTTCTACTGGAGAGAGAGAGAGAGAGAGAGAGAGAGGAGGAAGAGAGAGAGAGAGAGAGAGAGAGGGAGAGAGGAGGAAGAGAGAGAGAGAGAGAGGGAGAGGAGGAAGAGAGAGAGAGAGAGAAAGAGGGATAGAGAGAGAGGGAGAGAGAGAGGAGGAAGAGAGAGAGAGAGAGGAGGAAGAGA